TATACACACAGTGGGTAGAAAAGAATAAACCCTCTTTAAAATAATCACATTTTGTTGCTTTGCAGCCTGAAGCCTTAGTAGAGACAAATCCCAACAGACTAAAGGCTGCATGTAATTAAAGAAAAAGGTGGTTCAACAAAATACTGACACAAGGGGGTGATCCTTTTTCCAACTTAGTGATTCTGGTTTTTGATTTTTTTTTAAATTCTGACATGTTGGTGTTATATCTTTCACTTGGATGGTATAAGTTGCACTGAGTAAATACAGCTGGATAAAACAAATAATGTGTCCGTCTTCCATCCAGGCTGTGTGTGTGTGTGTGTGTGTGTGTGTGTGTGTGTGTGTGCGTGTAAAATATATAATTATAATTTCTAATCATTATATATACAGTATGTGTGTGCTGTTATTATTAATTATATGCATTGTTTTTCTCATATAATCATTATTTGTTTCTCATGTATTTCTCTTATATATCATTGTAAGCACTGGATATTTTGAGCCTATATAAAATGAAAATTGTCAGTTGAGAAAAAATAAAATCTGTCTATACATTTTGGATTCCTTAGCTTTACATTGACTATTCAGTCTGTTTTGTCCCATAAAACCCTTGCCTGTGTGAGGCAGTTTACTGAATGTGCTTTTATGCCTTACTGCTTTGTAAATTTCATCATTTGTGTATTGGAGCATCCACACCTGGGTCAGCTGAAAGTGTGGTGTTCCTCATGATGTTGCCATGGTTTAGTACATAGGATTACATCCAGCTGTTTTGAGGGGAGGTGAAAACAGATAGCTTATTGAGATTTTGCTTTAATTGTTTTTATTATGAAAATCAATTTGCAGATTTATTAGAGAATATTTGCAGGTATATATATCTATACATATATGTTAGTATATGTACGCCGTATTTACCTTCATTTGGGATGCGTGAGCACAGCATACCATGTCTTAGGAAGACTATTGCTAAAGGGCATATCATACATAGTAGTAGCTAATAGCTATAATTAAAAAAAACTTGCAAAATATTGTACCAAAAAAAAAAATAAAAGAAAATGGAAAGGAGTTGAAAAGTCACTTCATAGTTTTGTTGCTTGCCCTCATGCTGGCTAAACATCACGTGGGACCATGCGTATTTTGAATTATGAAATGGAGGTCATCATTTACATATGTTTCATAGCACATTCCATTACCCTTAGGCATTTAAAGTGCTCACTGTGTAAACCAGATTTAAGATACCAACTGAAAAATGCATGAAGGTAATCCAGATGTACAAACAAAGTCCCCTGGGATTCCAACCAAACACATGAACAGTGACAGAAGGAATTGTGTCCATGTCTGTTGGGATGACCTGTCGGTTCATCCGACGAGAGTCAGTGATTATTTCTTTACAGTGTCATATTCTTTACATACAATTTACAAATATTTACAATAAAATGTGCATGATAAAATGCATATGGGTTCAAAAAATGCTTTGATACACAGAACTGGTTGGCATTGCGGAGGCAAGTCCATGTTGTCAAGCCAACCAAAAGGATCACGGGTAGATGACACTCTTCAGAGAGTGCAGACTTCCCATGCATGTAAAATGCAAGATGCTCTGCAGGTTTCCTCTCGTGCAGCTTGCAGTGCCTCTGATGGTATCAGCAGTGTGACTCATACACCAGCTGAGTGGGCTTTATAGAGGTTGGACACATAGATTCAGGTATAATGGATCCGAATACAGTCTAAACTTTACGATAGATGGATGAGGCGTTGTTCTGAATTTAGAAAATTACAAAGCCGTAAATCAGCAACACTGCAGAGTGATAAAAGAGGGTATTTTACATAAACCATGCAGAGCAGAACTACTGTCACCAGTAGAGAGGTGGTAAATTATAGCACCATTTTAGGGGGATGAATGTGTTGGTGGGGCATCCAGGGAACTAATATTAAAATATTAATCATACACATCAATCACAGGCAACAGGCTGAGTCATAATATTTACTGACAGTAAACTGGAAACTACATATGACTGATGTTATTGTTTTCTGCTCTATTGCAATGCTTGT